ACACAGGACTGCATGACATTTTATTAGAAACTAAAATCACATAAAGTCAACTAATTAGTTACAAATGGTAACAGGACAAAATGAAAAGTCACCAGTGTAGCTGTAGTTGCTCTCCCACTTTATAGGACAAAGACATGATTGATAGTGAAGAGGGAAACCCATCTACAGCACAGCTGAGCTATTAGAGCACGGTGACCAACTGTCCTCTTTTTGGCACTTGTTGACTTGTAAAAGCCTATATGACATTTTTTATTTCACTATTCATTAACTGTACAAGATGTTATTATTTAAATATGTTTTCTTCAAGTAAACAGTATTATAAAGGTTCTTCATTACTGGCACAAGTGTCCTCTTTTTTGGAAATCAAATTATGGTCACCCTGTATTAGAGGATATGATCAGCACTGTTTATCACCGTCATGCTGATTTTGCAGAAAAATGCCAACCAGGCTCAACCCAGCTGGTTAAGTTTACACCTGACTGACCTGTGCCTCCTCCTTACTGTGACTAAACAATCAGACTCTGCAGGGTCAGACAGATGTTTTGTTTCTGTCTTGTTTTCGACAGAACCGTCTGTTTGTAGAAAACGCCGTTTTTACCGTTCTTCCCGCTGTAAACACCACTGTTTTTTTCGGAAAAAAACATCACGTGTATTTTTTATCATAACTCTGGTTTTACGTGGCCCATCGACACAATTCAAAAACTGGTATATAGTTTGAAGTCCCAAGTTAAAATGGAGACTCTCAGTCGCTGCATCTATTATCTGTGTCATCATGCGCCGTCGACCCCAGAGGGTTAAATAAAGGAGAAAGAAAGAAAATAGAATTATTAAAATACACAAAAGGTGAGATTGTGTTAAAGGTGAATGTTGGCTATAACTTGTTAATGTCCACTTCGCTTTATTTTACTGAAACAAAGAAGAGAACAAATACATGTTAAAATAATGACAAAGACAAAAAGGTGCTGAAGATATGAGGCTGCTGTCTCATCTTTTACTTTATTTTATTGTTCTTTCCTAAATGTTATCACAGTGATGAGTTCATGTTAATCTGATGATGAACATGTATCGTGTGGTTATGATGTTCAAAAGGAGAGATATGTGTTGCAATAATCTGTCACAAAATGACAAAACTTGTGATGCTGTTTTGTGCACAGTTTATTTAACATGTTGTTTCACAACATTAGTTTTCATGAATCACTTTCAGCCAATAATCAATAAGAAACGTTTCACCCTTTCAGTAGCCACACAACAACAGAACGAGGATAATTAGTATACATCTACAAACAAGAAATCTCTGAGTTCATGTTGTTTCTGACTCAGTACATGTGACAGCTGCTCATTGATCCTCTTCTGTTGCTGCTGCTCTCTGATGTGGAGTGACAGGGGATTTCTTAAAATCACCCTGCAATTCTTCAGCTGAGACACTTGAGTTAGAAAACACAAACACTGCAGTTGTCTTTACTCGCGAGGACGAGTGACAGAGCGCTCCTACACGTAAGAGACACTCACGGACTTGTGCTCTGTCACCGTCTGCGTTCTTTATTTATACAAGGGAAATGAATACATTCGTTCAGTGACATGAGCATGTGCGTATGTGATTGTGAGTGTGTGTGTGTGTGTGTGTGTGTGCGAGGTCAGAACTGCTTGTTGAACTTCTTACTATCGCTGTGGAAAGATTCAGATACAAATATCAGAACACGTTTCATAAAGAACAATCAGTTCTAAACAAGGAAAAGGTCATCATGCAGTATTCTATCATCAATAAACTTATATCACTAAAAGCTTATACTGACTACTCAGTACAATTTTCTATTGACATGGAGAATAGATGACTTCAAATGTTCTGTTAGTAAGATGTAGCAATGAATTGAAAACTAAGATTAACTAAGCTTTCCGATGTAGAGAATAGAATAGATAAATAATATTGAGCATATTCAGGTAATTCTACCAGTTTGCACCCTGGTAACTGTTATTGAAAGGTTTGAACTAAGATGAGTGTTTCGGGTGAAATGACATTTCTTTGTGTAGAAGCTTCTTTTTTTTGCAGCTATTTAAGTAATAATAATTTCACATATATATTTAGATATACAATAACTAACTTGCATCTTGACAGTTACAGGAACAGAAATACTGATACTCATAAAAGCTCGCACTGTTGACCTCTTTATTTTCCCTTTCAGACAAAAAATAGAAGAAATAACAACAGCCCCCATGTAGCTATAGTTGTTCACCTACTTTATAAGACAAGGTCATGATTGATAGTGAAGAGGGAAACTCATCTACAACACATACTAGCTGAGGTGTTAGAGCATATGATCAGCACTGTTTATCACCATCGTGCTGATTTCAGAGGAAAAGACAGAGCTTGCTCGACCCAGCTGGTTTAGTTTACCTGACTGAGCAGGAGCCTGACCTGTACCTCCACCTTACTTACTTACTGGTTAAGTTTACAGGTGGGATCCTTATATGATCCCACCTTGCTGTGACTAAAGAATGAGACTCTGCACAGTCAAAGAGACGTCATGTTTCTGTCTTGTTCTTGATTGACCCTGTCTGGATTTTTAGCTCTGATATTTGTGTCATATTTGTAAATTCTTGTGAAATCAGTTAATGATCAAGAGAGAGCGTAATGGAAAGTTATAATACATCTACTGGTCATGCTGACCATGATTGATGCAGAGCTTTAGTTCTCTGTGATATTCTGTCTCCATGCAATCTTTCATATGAGATTTACCACATGTAAAGTTATCTTTTCCTTTAACTTCATCCTGTGACAGCAGCACACAGAGAGCTTCTCTCTGTAAATGTTCTACCTCACAGTCCTCTGTGTCAGATACATGCAGACTGCTGTCATGCTCTGAACTGTTAGTGACCGCTTTGCAAATAAGACTCACATCTGTTTATTTCATGTTTCCATGGCAATGCTGTTACAAACTGTTTAACTGGTTGTTTTGTTAGTTTGTGGATAATCTCATACAGGAAACACAAATCAAACATAAAATCTTCAAATTTAAAAAGATTTTATTTCTATCTTCTAACTACAGATACATAAAATGATCAGAAACAAAAATATACCTAATATATATTCACAGTTATTCATTGCCTATGATATCACTCTTATTTACCACCAAGTATTTGTTGGTCCCATATCAGTAATTACTTGTGAAACACAGCAAACACTGACTGTAAATTGTGCTGTCAGATACTAAACATCACATATTACTCACTGCTGTTGGAACATGTTAGATACATTCAAGGTTTATTACAAAATCTTTAATAAAAAACTGAATATAAAAAGCATGAATATTATATAGAAATACAACTGCATTTATTTATGCTATAAGAGAGTAATATGTCTGATATTATGATTTAATATTGTAACTGTACATAAAGCTGAGCATGTCTGATATTTGGGGAGCAGAGGAGCAAGAGTGGCTTCATAAAAAGCTTCTTCTTGGCTTTGCTGCTACAGCTCTCCTCACTGACCTGTAAGACAAGCACA